GATGAATAAAAGAGGGCCTTGTTCCTAATGAAGAGGATAGGCTATTGGAGAAAAATTCACTTCCCAGCTCTGTAGACTCACTGGATAAACCTAAGGTATTCATTCAACTGCACTGAGCTTTGCTCCCTCCCAGCCCTACTGAGGGTACAAGGTGGCACTACTACTGTGACACAAGGGGTCTCAGGCTAACACACAACTGAGCATTAAGGCATTAGTATTTGGAAAAGTTCTTTATGATCTTCTGCAGAAAGGCACTGTGGAAACATAAAGCATTATTGAAGTGTGCCCTAAACAGCCTGCCACGACAAACCCAAATATTGTATTTGATAGGACAAGAGGAAATGGCCTCAACGTACACCAGGGGAGGTATAGATTGGATATTAGGAAAAATTTCTTCACCAAAAGGGTTATCAAACACTGCAACAAGCTGTCCAGGGAAGTGGTGGAATGACCATCCCTGGAGGTATTTAAAAGATGGGTAGATGTGGTGCTTAGGGACATGTTTAGCAGTGTTTTTGGCAGTGTTAAGTTGATGGTAGGACTTGATGATTTTAAAGGTGCCTTCCAACCTAGACAATTCTGTGATTGTTTCCACTGAGAGAGACAAAAACGAAATTATCTTCTCCCTTTACTTCCTCTTCGAAACTTTCCTGTACCTAAGAGATTTCACATCTGCTTTCTTCCCGAGTGCCACAGTTTGATCTATTTCTGGTGTTACAGTAGCGAATTCCTCTCTGGGGGTTCCTCCTCCAACTATGACCCAAAATAAGCAGCGAGGTCTGCCCCACTCTTCCCATGTTAACACAGTCTTATGCATTATTCTGCAAGACACAGAAATGCAAAAGGCTTAACTAGACAACTGACCCAGAAAAGAAGAGACAGAGCTTACAGCATCATGTTCTTCAACCTGTTAAGAAGGTCATGACCTATTTAGCACGAAAGGAAAACAAGGATATCACAAGGTGTTAGAAAAAAAAAATTATTTGGAAATTAAAACTTAGTTCCTCTAGGTCTCTACTCGTTTGTTGTCTTTATCCTCTTCTCCAGTTCTGCCCAGATCCCTTTATGAACCTAGCCATATATATTTCTGAAAATAGAGACATTTACATTTTTAAGTATGAACAATGTCATACAATGACTGTCCTCCCCATTTTTGTATCTCAAATCTGTCACACTTATTCCCCTTGCATGCCACTTTGGGAACATATAAATACACAGAAAAATGAAATTTGTAAGACATCAGTGTACCTTGTGTTCAAAACAATTAAGGAAATGCTGCAATTCCTAGGTATGATGATGTTCTGGCTGAAAAAGCAACATACTGTCAACCTGGAGAAGTACTAATGGCAAAAAGCAGTTTACCACTTTTTGGAAGTGTCACTTTTCTTTTTCAATTTTTTGTCAATATGATTTAATCAAACAGATGCTCCTCTGAAAACCGCATCTCCTCAGCACCACCCCTTGGATTTCTGCAGAAAAAATTTGCTTCTGAAGTGTCATGAATAAAAACGAACAGTGAGAGTTGTATATTTGCTACGTGAGCAATGCCCATGTAAAGCCAATGGAAGCAGAAATATATTTCAAAGTAAAAACACAAGGGAGGTGAAAATCCATTTCTAGGTTTTCTATACTTTCGGTGCTGTGTGTGAGTGATCTCCATGACAGAACACAAATCTACACCACGTATCTTTGTTTTGTTCTTATACACTGCTATTGTCCTGGAAATTGAGTAACTTTCAAATATGCATCAAATAGACCTCACATGAGAGGAAGTAATCCCAGAAAGAGGATGAAAACTAGGATTCCCCTCCCAAAGGCATCTTCAGGATTTTATTTTGCCCCACTTCAGGCCAAAATTTTTTATTTGGGTTGTTTTTTTGTTGTTTTGGGGTTTTTTTGAGGGGGTCAGGGGGTGGTGTTGCAAAAGTTGACATAATCTTAAGCAACTCACTTGGACAAAATTACAAGACAACATTTCAACCATTTCCCACTAAAAATGTCAACAACGTAGATATTCCAGTAAAACATATTTCTTTAATCAAATCAGTATTTTCCAGTATTATAATTTCTTTTACCAGTTCCTATCATTAAGAAAGCCAAAAATTAGCAGTTTAGGGATCGCACACTTTCCTGACGCTCATTACCATGGTAAATTGGTGCCTCATTTAGCTTATCAAAGACCATCTCAACAAAAACAACACAGCATGTTTATCATTTTATAACCTATCTGAGCTCTCAGGCCAAAACAACATCAGGAAAGGAACATCACTAATATTCCTGTTCCCCATATTTAAAGGCTGAGATATCAGTTCTTAGCAGCTTTTGTGTTATGAGACTTGAGCGCATCAGCACTCCCCCAGCTCACGGTGGTGGGCTGAGGGACTACATTTTGTTGTGATGCATTTGCCACAGCACACACTCAGAGTGTGGTCCTGACCCAGGCTGTCACAGGTGAGGACCTGTACAGCAGCCACTGCTGCCAAAGCATATTCCAGGAAGCCGGTGCTTTTCAACCACACTGTTTTATTATCTTCCTCTTCTTCCTATATCAGCCCCAAGGATCCTTATCATCTCACCCTGTGAAATTCTATATTTCATATAACTCTTTTTATCAAGTAGTTTAGAATTAATCTCCTAAAGTAAACCAGCTTACAATCTGTCCTCACGGAATAGGTTTTTAGGATCTCAAACAAGTTGCTGTAATTCCGTGGTGTTTACCTATTCTCAGTTCTCCTTCCCTCCCTCAAAAGAATAAACAGAAAAATTCCTTTCAATGGAGAAACACAACATGCTTGAGGAAGGAAAAAAAAAAAAAAAAAAAAAAAGGGGATAAAGGAAAAGGCAGAAATAGACATCGTGCTGAAAAGCAAAAAATTGTGCATCTCCTGGATGGAAATAATTTACCACTACCTCAGGAAGCAGCAGACCACCACAAACAGTTTCAAAAACGTCAGGTTTTTATCCTGAAAAACAGATTGCATTTCTCAATGCTGGCAAAACTATTAATTAATAAATGTTTTCATACGACACTGGATCTTTTGGAAAGCTTTCAGGAGAAAGGCAAGCTAAACCACCTTTCCGCAACTTGTGGCACTCAGAGGGATCAAGAGAGTCAATCCCAACTCTTACTGTAACCTCTTTAGACTCCAAAAATCATCGCATCCAAACCATTGTGTTTTTCCCCAGAGGTCACTTTCAACCTGAATTAATTTACGATTCTGCATTTTCAGAGTTTCAGTTTGGGGTAGGAAGGAGAAACCAAACCACAACAGTATTTTTTTGATACAAGTGTTTTGTCAAAAAGAAAGAATCCCCAATCCTGTATTCTAACAAACTTTGTTTCACAATTCTCCAAACCAAAGTTAACCTCAAAAAGGTTGTAATCCAAATGAAAGGATCATTTTGAAGGATATTACCAACCTGAATTTAAAATGTAATTTGAGGGGTTTTTTTTAATCCTTACTGCAGGATACTTCAGAAGGCATAATGAAGACCTAGCACCTCATTTTCACGTTCTCATCCTAATGAAAACTAACAAAGACATTCTGGTAAAGCACAAGACAAAGCAATCAAAGGAACTACTTGTATCATTGTATGTCCTTTTCCTTACTGACCCTGTATGACCATAACATGTTTCAGGAAAGTTTTGCTAAGTTGGTCCCCCCTGGAAGAATTACTTAGCAAATCCCTGATCTACATGCCTGTGGGACTGCAGCTTCTGACCTCAAGCAATGGTCTGTTTCTCCAGGCAACGTGCCAAAAGTGTTATCAGCACTTGTGTAAGATTACTAAGTTTCCCATTTCATCTACATCAGAGCTGTCTTCATGTTACTTTTTGTACATTGTCAGGAAACTTTTGTAACCCACTGATTTCCCAAATCTTCTGAAAGCTTTCTGCTTCTCAACAGCAAGGAGTGTACTTCAATAATAACAGGCTGGCAAGGAAAGCATGTACTTTGCAGACACTCACCTTGGTGCTGAGTTCAGGCTCAAGAGTGAAACGTCAGTCCCTAACCTGTTGCAGACTGAAATGTGTTGGCTAAAAGGCATCGGTGCAGGGTTCTACACACTTTTTTTGTCACTCAAGGATCAAGGTGCCAGAGTACACCAACACTGCACACACTTCATCACTTCTGCCCACATGCTCCACAAACCCTTTGTGTTTTTCCTCTCACAGATCATGTGTGCCATTTTACTCTGCTCTCTACAGCATCCCCTTCACACTCATGCAGTTTGTCTCTTCTTCCCCTCCCTGACAAGATAGGTTCAGCCTTATCATCTAGAATTAGAAACCTAAGCTTTGGCAGTGCTAAAAAACAAAGCACAGCAAAAACAAGGTTCCCATCTCCTTGTCTCAGTCTGAACCACAACCTATTGAGAAATGCAAGACTTCAAGCTCCAGCCTTAGAAGTGCTCCTTCAAATGAGAAATGTTTAAAAGTGGCTCAGGTGTGAATTTAAAGCTCTAGCTAAGGTTGCATCTACCCTACCTTTTATTTCTGAAGTTGCAGTACAATTCTGAAGCAAATCTCCCAGTTTTCCCAACCCACCCTCAGTCCGTTTGATTTGCAGAGCAGTTTCGGTGCACCTAAGGTACGTTTCTTTTAGGGAAAACTAAAACAGAAGCTCACATCCAGATGCATACCAAAGGCACTCCAACTACTAATGGGATCAAAGCAACGACTGGATATTTGGATGGCTTCAAGCCATATGCATGATAGAGATGTTCAGTCCAGACCACCAGAAAAAAAAAAATCTAGTGAAAAGCAAACCCCAAGGGGCCTCAGCATCAACTTCTGACCTCTGATTCTCTCTTCCAAAAATCCAAATGAGCTCCATAGTGATTCAGCTCCAAACTGATTCTTTCAGAGCATTCTGTCAGTCAGGTACCAGATTGGCTCATCCAGTTTCTTACCAGACATATTCATATACCAATGCTCTAGCTCAGTTCTAATGACACCAAAATTAGCCCAGAACCCCAGTAAAGGTCACATCACTTACCAGGCCATCGCATGTGCTGATTGCTGCTGTGCCACTCCCAGAACCTGGCTGCAACACTGTGCCAATGAAGTGGCAGGGAACTCTCGAGCGAGTTGTGATCTTCGCACTACTGTGGTTGCCACGTCTCCTTTCTACTACGTAGTTATGGGAAAGAAATCCCATGTGAACAGTCAAGTTAAAAAACAGATCCTTCTCCTCATGGTTAATTTTGTAATATACCACATTTTCCTTTTTGCTGAGATCTCTCTTTTTCCTTGTGTTTGAGATGTGATGGTGTAAATTAAAAGAAAGAAAATGCCCGCTTGCATCTACTCTCGCTGGCTCAGCCACGTGGTATTCTGGCAATGTCTTGATAAATTGCTCTGAGAGGAAAGAGAAAAAAAAGAAGAAAAAAAAAAAAAAAAGGTGAGTGCTAGCCTGTTCAGATCTAGCATGATTTAAAGGGAAATACAAAAGTGACAGCAATTCACCACACCATACTACCAACACAAAGGCAGGCCGTGCACAGACCGCCATGCAATACAATCCTCATTTGGGCTTTCTACTCTCCCATTGTAACACTCAATTTAGAAGCTAAACATTCTTATTTTCAAATATTTTGTCACCATTCGTATAAAGGATTGACTGTCAAGCACACAGACCTTCCCAATCCCACAAAAGCTGGGAACCCTATTTATCCTAAGTCCCCAGCACACGATGCTCTGATCACACATCCAGAAAGCCGACCATCTAAAGCAGGAGACAGAGCCTTACAAACACACGTGGGTGAAGAGAACACTACTACTTGACTTGACAGTCTGTACCAATAGCAATTTGGTCGCATCAGCTTTAGCAGATGTTGCAGCAGAAGAAGGAATTTTAAGGAAGGGTTTGAAAGTGAATGAAGTCACTATGCCCTTTTGTATAAGGGGTTCCAACCAGGGTAAAATTGGACACCTTATCACTTGTCAGGTCCTAGCAGGGGAAGAAAGCGCTACTGGCATTCTTGTCTCCTGATATGATACAGAGAAAAACACCACCTGTTCCCAGTTTATTTTTTTTTTTAAATTAGTGTGAAACTCAAAAGCCCCAAGCAAATAACATAAATCCACATAAAACACACTCCCTAAGAACTCATACCCTACAGGCCAGATCTTCCACTGGCATACTTGTCTTCCGCCCAAGAAATCACAGCCTGAACATATTTCATCGAACAGAAATTGTGAGGGTACATGCCATTCCAGTTCCTCTTTCCCCAAGGCTGTTCTTCATTCCCAAAGTCCCAGCCACTTATATATGAAGCGATTACACCTCATTCATTAATTAAGCTGGTTAACAAAGCAATTAGCCAGCTCCAGGTACTTCCAGAGCAATTTCTTCCTCCCTAGGACTGGAAAGACAATCCTTCTAGCGACAATTCTCTCTCCACTGCCTGCACCTTCAAAGCTACACAGGATAAATCATGCCCAGACAGATAGCTGTCTAGATTCATCCCCTTCGGGAAGGAACATATCTCCTTTGTCCTCATTAGCTGCAGTTTGAGACGTGGCTGGCTGTTCGTGTTTCCTCGGGCCACGGACCCCAGAGACACGTGCACTGAAACACTCCCAATTCAAAAACAAAAACCAAAACAAAACACACAAAACCACCACTTCCCAACACACACACAATACTACATGAGAAATTTGGCACTTTTATTTCAAAAAGAAGCTTATTTTCACATACAACAGATTTCTTTGTACACAAGCCTTCCCACCAGCCTACAATGACTTTGTGCCTTTGCAGGACAAGCCACAGCAGTGGGCTTATAGACGTCCACAGTGGCAGGTCTTAACAACAGGTAGACTAATACCTACCACAAGTTCTGAGAGACATCTCTTGCCCTTGTCCACATATGCACAGTGGGGACTGAGACATTGAAAACTCAGTCCACACCTTCATGCCCACAGTTGGCAGAGTCTGTAGATAGCACAAAAGGTGCCAGCTGCCTGACAACTCAGCAGCTGAAGCTAAACCGAGGTCTCCCCTTCCTCGCACTCCAGAGCAAAGCAAAAAATGGAGAAGAGAGGGGAAACACCCAAAAATACAGCTTACCTGCAGAAGTTTAATTATAAGACTTCTGGGAAGTCCCACATCCCATATTGTGCTAACAAAGACAGGCTAACAGAGAATGCTGCAAGACCAGATCCCCATTTCTATGGTTTTCAGCACAACTCATGAAATAATCAAATTAAATGCCTGAAGGAAAACTTATTCATTTGCTGTCACTGTGCAATTTGCCTCTGCTTGATGTCTTGAGCTTAATTTGTTGTGGCTTAAACGTTAAGCTCCGTGCAAGACCAAAGACTTGCACGGTTCTTCAAGTTATTCAAGGAAGTTTTTATTTCATCACTACAGTAATTAGTGTGTAGAGGTTAAGGCAAATTAGACATCATAATCAGTAAAAGGGAAAAAAATGCCTAAGCATCTAATAGCAATAGGATTATAAAAGCAGAGAAGTATAACTTCTTCCACCCACTCCTTAAATACTCATTTCTGAATGCTAGTCACTGGAGAAGGGAATTACGCTGCAATAATATATTGTAATATAACTGTGGAAATAAATTATTTAAAAGTTTTCAAAAGACCAGAGGGAATAAGATTACAACACAACAAAGTCGAACAAGATGAGGCTAAAGATATTTCTGCAAGTAATCATTACCAGTTTTGTCTAGGCTGTTCGGTAGAGGTTAGCAAAGACAATCCTACCAACAACAGAACAATTTACTGAGCTGCACAGTAAGCCTACCATACTGCTTGACCCTTCTAGCTGGAGAAGAGTCTAAAACAAAGACAGGAGGTACGATTTTGCTGCTACTTTTCTGCCCTTCTAGGAAAGAACAACACTCAACCAGGAGGCAGAGGCAACAAAGAGAATAACTTAATAGATGCAACGTAGACTGCACAAGAATGAGGGTTCTATTCTTTAACACCGACTGCCTCAATTTTCCTGAAGTTATAACTACTTCATGTTAAAACACCACAGGTTCCCATAAAACTTAGTGCCAGCAAACACTAAATGGAGGGAATCTATCCCAGTGCCACTGAGAAGCCTTGGGGCTGGCATGTCACAGTGTCCTCCTTGGCCACCTCGAATACTCCCCACCCCAGGGATGCCCTGCCTGTCAAGTGGCACTGCTCAGGACTTATAGGCCAGTAAAGGGAAGACTTCCCTGGGCGGCTTGCTTAGCTCCAGAGAATGCTCTGTCTTTCCAGAACTGCAGCCTGAGCACGCCAGCTTGCATTGGTGCCACAAGACCAAAACATCACACCCAGCAAGACACATCCAAGTCAGTACTTTGCCTTGCAATCACAGTGTTTGCACAGGCCCTTCTGGGGACAGGAGACGAGCAACATTCAGGCCCTTCGCACCTGCCTGACCAGTCTAAGAATTGTTTAAGTTGCTGGAGGAACCTTCCCTGCAGACCCTCCGAATTCTGCATCACTGAAAACATCTGATAATATTCAAAACCACTGATGTCTGTTTTGCTCTTCTGTGGATTCAAACTAACCACACCAGGCAGAGAACTGCATATATTAAGAATGGCTGTAGACAAAGTGAATAAACTAGGATAAAAAGAAAAAATTACAGTCTGACACACAACAGGAAATACACAATTTCTTTTAGACAGATAACATGTTTTCTGACAAAATTCCTTTAAGATGTGACACATCATCAGTTGCCATTGTTTCATCTCCATCTTTGTAGTGCATCTACATCTGCCACTCAGACCCTCTGGCTTCTTTTCAAACAATTCCTTGAGATAGGAAATAACATTGCTCATCTCTGGAGGAAGCATCTTTCTGAGCCAAAGAAAGGCTCTGTACCCAGAAAACACCCCAAGCTGCGAAGCCCCATGGCAGGGAGCAGGCCTTCAACATTCAGCAAGGGCATCCTTAACTACTGTTCCATCCATCACACTCATCATGGAGGTAGAGGGAGCACAACACTTAACATCACTTCAGCGATGTGAGACACAAATTTTAGACTTTCACACTTAGCACTGCATCCAACCTATTCTACCAATCTACCAATTAATTCTACATTCGTTTTGAAATGCTTGACAATTAAACAGCTACTGCATGCTAACACAACCATCCCTGTTCTGTTCCATGCAGAGTCACAGAAATGCAATGATTGTTTGCATTCACTTTAAAGGAATCCAGCAGGAACTAACTTCAGGGTAATTGTTCACTTTTCAGCCAACTTACTTAACCACTTGTCCTTTCTACAGTCCCTAAGGGGTACAGCAGATCTTCTCTGTGTTCCAGCTGTCCCACTGACAGCACCACAGCTGTCGATTGCATCAGGAAGGTTTTCAGGAAGCGAGATTCCCTCCTACACTTTCGGGTCTTCTACCACCAGGCAGAGTCTTCCAGCTAATAATTTTTATTTTTATTTTATTTTTTTTTCCCTCGTGGGAGCCGTTTCTCTTATTTTCCTTACGGCAGGCAACAGGGTACCACTCCCGAGGTACCGCCTGGGGCAATGCAGTGAGTCCACTTGGGGGAGGGAGCCGCCTCAAGAGACAACCCGCGGGCAAAGGACTCGCTCGTAAGGTACTGTCCTCAATGCATGTGAGCAACTCACAGTGGGATCTATAGCCTGATTAACACCGATCCTTCTGCAGTTTGTGCTGCTGCAGTACAGAACTGAATTTAATAAGTAAAGAAATAAATAATCGGGACAGTAAACTTTTTCAGCTTAGCGGTACTAAACGGCAGTGGCATTGCGGGAGATGCCTCCTAACGAGGCAGCCGAGCAAGAAGCAGGACTGGGCAATGCCGTCACCTACACCGTACAACTCAACGCGTTCCATAAAGCAGCAGGAAGGCACCGCCAGAGCCCTCTCCTCTCACTGCCCAACTTTCCAGCC